GGACCAGGCAGGGGGTTCTCCCCTGCACGTGGCCACCTCTGCTTCCTCCGTGATCTCATCGTCTTCCTACCAGTCACACTGTTCCTCAAAAAGTAAGAAGGCCAGTGTCCCCTCTACCAGGAAAGATGTTTGCGCGGCCGATCCTTCTCACCATGTCCCTTTAAGAATTCAGCTCAGATGTCACATTTTGCCCTGACCACATCACCCACGAGGTACCCATGAACCTCAGTCATTGCAGCACACTCCTTTTACTTTTTTCACAGCATGCATCCGGCTCACAATGCTGGGGCCTTAAAGGTCTGAGAGGATCCATCCCAGGGTGGGTGATGAGCTTGGCACAGCCCCAAGGCTCCCTGCCACACTCCCCTCAACTACGTGGGACAGTGGCTGCACTCGGTATCCCGAGCCCCATTCGGGTTCCTGCTGCAGCTCTGAGCCAGCCTTGGAACCCTCCCCTCTCCCTGCTTATGTGTTCTGCTTCAAGGGCCCCAAACAGATCTGTGATCCTCATTTTTAGACCTCAGGGCCAAGGATGGGCTGCAGACCAGGAGGTAAGGTCCTCAATCTACAGAATCCCCTGCACTAGCTTCCTGACCCCAGCCCACAAGTCAGGGGACCCAAAGTCTTGGACACATTATACTTTCTAGAGAATCTAGCACCAACGTGGGAAGTGGTTGGAAGGTTTGGAGCCGGGCACATTAGAGGGCTGGTTTGAAGCAACACCAAAACAGGGAGCTGCCTCATCAGCCCAGACCCAGACCATTAGCCACTGCCTAGCAGGGACAGGGCAGATCTCTGCTACACCAGCCCGCCCCACCCCCGGGTCCCTTCTGGGAGCAGGAGCCGGCTGCGTGCCTCCGCAACTTCCACCTTAGGCTATGGAGGCTGGCAAGAGGGGTGAGGTTGCAGGATGAACAGGCTGTTCCCCAGCCCCACCCTATGCATCCTGGGACCTTCCCAGGTGTTCCAGGAATGGACTTTGGACAATACTGAGACCTAGATTTGCATGGATGGTTTTTCGTTCTAAAGTGCACTATGCAGGGCTTCTTGGGATGTTGCTCACAGTGGGGTCTCACCGGATATTAGAGAAGGGGGAGGGTCCATTGGTTGGTCTGAGGATTACACAGGGTTTTACCGGGGTGAGTCAATGAAGCAACTGCATTTCCTGGGCTGTGTGAACACTCAATAAGTGAGGTGGGGTCTTAGCAGGTGTCAAACCACTGGGAATCATTCTAGGCTATAGGATGTCATGGGCACCTGGGTCATTGGGACTTCTGAGGTCTCTAGCAAGGTGCAGAAATTGCAAGGCCCTTTGATAAAACACTGAGGTGTCTGGCACATGAAGCAGGAGACCAACTATCAGGAGGGTCGCAAAGTCAGCGCAGGGCATGCTGGAAGTGGGCTTCAGGACAGACATGTGGCCAGAGGATGCGTTAGCAATCCATGGGGCCCCCTCCTTTCCCCACGTACTGAGGGGCCTGCTCTTTCCTGAGCAAGATTTCGTAGCCCCTGCCCAGCCTGCCCATCCTCAACCAGACCCACAGAAAACCATGGTAGGGGGAGAGAAGTTTAATAATAAGCTTTGGACAGCCTCCCTATCAGAAGGGAGCCTAAGGGCCCACCCTTGGAGAGAAAGGCCATGATGAAGGGTGGGGCCCCCAAGGGGCAGGAACAGCATGGGAGCTGGTGCAAAAGACTGCCATGAAGCTGGTCCTGGGCTCAGCAGGTGCTGACAGAGCCTGTGGAGAGAATGGGGGTCCGGTCACTCCATAGACACTCTCCTCAGCCTCGGGCAGCCCCAAGGCTGACTAGCTCAGGACAGTCCCGCCTTATACATAGCATAACCATTATTAATTCTCAAATTCTGTGGCTGCCTGAGTGCCTGGAAGCCTCTGGAAGGAGCCTGTCTCACCTGGAGTGATGAGTGGAACGGCTTTCTCAGGTAAAGGGCTGAGAAAGGAACACATCAGATTAGCATCCTCGAACCTTCTGTTCTTCTCCGCCACCCAGACTCCTGGGTGCTACTTTAACAGGATCAAATCAGAGCTTTCCCTGATTTGGGGCCCTTCAGGGTGGATAATCTATGAATAACAAATCCCATGCAAGCCCAGGGACAGCCAGGAAGGAGGCTGTCTTCTTTTTCCAAATTGTAGGACTTTATCCCCAAATAGCTCTGCTCAGCTCAAGGTAAACACAATAGGGCCCTGTGCTCACCTGCGCTTCTGATTTGACTTGCATTTGCATTTGCCACCTGTGAAGGAAGAGAGAGCCAGTGCAAAGAGCCTGAGGAGCCTGGGCCACCCCTCTTCCCACCCTCTCCTCACCTACCACCTCCTGCCTCCCCACCCCTTCCCCGGCCCTGCCAGTCCCACTGCTCACTCAGGGCGAACAAGATTCCAGCGATGCACAGGAGCACTGCACAGATCGTCCCGCCCACCTGCAGGCCTTCCCAGTCTGGGGGAGCACAGAGAGGGAGCTGGCACCAGCCTGACTCCACCTCACTCATGCAAAAGATATTTACGAGCACATGCTTGTACAGATGCATTTACATTCCAGGCAACAAGAAAGACAAACCAGGAAACAGACACATATTATACTATCTGGTGGGAACAAGTGCTGGGAATTAAAAATAAGCAGAAGAGCTCAGAAAAAGAAGGGGGTTTGGAGGATGATCAAGGAAGGCTTTCCTGAAAGGTGGCCTTTGAGATGAGACCTGGGGGAGATGAGGGGCATGTTGGGGAAGGAAGAGGCAGAGGAAGAGGAAATGGGGGGGGGTTGTAGGGCAGCAAGGAGCTGGGTCCTGCGGAAGGCAAGAGAGAGGGAGTGGAAGGAAGGAGATTAGGTGTGAGATACCCCAGGGGCCCAGCAGCCTGGTGCCTCCAGGCCCTTCCCCAGAAGTCTTCCCAAATACCCAGTGGGCACCTTACCTACCTGCTGGAATGAAGTTCTCCCAAAGACCATGTTGCATATTGGCCTCTCCTTTTGATCGACCACCCACCTTGATTCTTTAATCCCTAGTCTTGGCCCCATCCACCCCTATTTCCCTCCACATCACCCCTCACCAGCCTCCAGCTAAGAGGTCCAGGAGAGGTAAGGATAGGGGTAGGAGCAAGGGTTATCAGTTCATACCATAGTAGAAGGGACTGTCTTTATCTGCAGGAAAGAAAAAAAAAGGAATAAGGACCAGACCCAGGGGGCAGGATATGTGGTCTTGGAAAAGGTGGGGGCAGGGCCAGCAGGGCAGTTTGGGGCCTCACTCACCAACCACATCGTTGGCTTCCAAGACAGGCAGGCCTGGGTGAGAGAAGCAGAGGTATTGGGGGTTAATCCATGACACTGGTCTCAGAATGAATCAGCAGGCCTGACCCCACCCAGCCCAGAGGACTAGCAGACTCAACTGTGGATTGTGGAGGGGGGTGGGGGGTACCTGAGGTCACGAGTTCCCGTCCTCACATCTTCCCCGCAAACAGACTTGAGATTTTTGTCTCCCACTTCCTAGCCTTTCTGTGAGTTCCACCCCCCAATAGCCCTCTTCTGCCCCCGACCCCGCAAGTCACAACCCTTCCTGCTCTTCTTTCTTACGCTCAAAATGGGATGGTGTGTTGGTTTCTTTTTATCCTCTCCTGAAAAGCTTCCTTCATGGACCGTGGCTAATGCTCTGTCTCCTAAAGAAGTAGGGACAGCTGTCCTCTTTCTGCCAACAAATGGTTACAGTTTCCCAAAGTTCCATTGTTCAGGATAACTTCTGCAATATCTGCTTCCTCCCTGTACTGTTGTTTCCTGTAGGTTTCTCTTTACATTGACAGTTTAAATGAAAGCACATTTATTCCACATCAGGCCCCCTTCGTGAGATGCTGCCCTGGTTTTCACAGCTTTGGTGGGTGGGTGAGTGGCACTTCTGGGAGGACTCACCGGCCAGCAGGAGGAGAAGGCCCTGGGTCAGTCCCTCCATGGCACAGCTGCAGGACAGGGCTGCAGGGGAAGGGGGCTGGCTGGGGTCAGACAGCCCAGACCGGCCCCAGGCTCACTGTGCCTGCGCCTCAAGGATGCCCTTGCTGATGGGGTGGACATGGGAGAGTTACTAATTCCTGCTTCCTCATCTAGAGATGATAATAGTAATGCCTTGTGGAGTTACGTGGATTGAGTTAATACTGATTCAGTGCTTAGAATAGTGTCTGCACATAGTAAATGCCTTACAGGGCTTTGTTAAAATCTGGTAATCAGATGCCTGACACAATCAGGAGAGCAGGGCTGCTCTTCTAACTCAGGCTGCCTTCCTAACCCCTACTCAAACCACTACAGTTGTCAGACCTTGGTGTACTGTTTCCAAAGGTCTGGGCCTGGGGCACCACCAGACTGAATTCCAAGAGAGCATCCACTAAGGCACACCCAGGGCTGAGCTGTGCAGAGGCGTGAGCAGCTGGACAGGGAAAGGCGGGGAGTGGGCGCCAGGTGCCAGAGGCAGGCAAGAGCCTCCTCCCCCAGCCCCAGCCATGGACGCTGCTCCAGGTAGCCCTAAATTCCACTCTCAGAGAACACACTGCTAGTGGCAGGAAACTGCCTAGTGGGTTGGACATTGCTCCTTTCTGTTTTCTCCTTAGGGTAGGAACTATCCATGTCTTCATTCACTAATCCAGGGGGTGGCTCTGTCCTTGAGATAAGACTTCCCCAAGCTTTCTGCCTGTGGTTAGCCTCAGGCAGGCACAGGGATTGTCAGTGTGTTCCACACTGCAACCCTAGTTATTATGTGCTGAGCCCAGCTGGCCAGAGAATTCCTTTCTCAGCCACTTAATCTCTCTGTGCCTCAGTGCCACGTAAAAATGAGGCTGATTATCGTAGCAACCTCATACGGTTCCTGTATATTAAGCCTAAGGTTAGTGCCTAGCACATAGTAAGTAGTGAAATGTGTCACAAGAAGTAAATACATAAATGTACGGGTGCTTTTGCTAGAAGGGAAGGACTATTAACGTGCTCCTTCGGATCACCAGGGTTTGTTGGCTGTGAGCAGTTTCCAAACCAGGCCCTCCTTTGGACTCCCCATCTCTCTCTACCCTTTCTACCACCCTAAACTTCAGATCATGAGGATCACAACTCCACTTTACATATTCTTTAGTCAAAGACTGGGTCCTATTTCCTCCAGCCACCAACCCCCCCATCCATATGACAGCGTCACAGAGAAGGCAGCCCCCAATCCTCAAAACCCCCAAACACAAAGCCGTTACTGAGAAAACTCAAGCCCCTACTGCCCCTTCCTCAGCTTGGTACTCTGGGCCACCCCTCCGCCTCCAACCCCTCTGCCTGGTAGCCCCGAAGTCCTAGCGGAGATCTGCTCCTGAGCTTACCTGAGAGTCCAGTGCAGAGAGCAGGTCTGTGGAGGCTGCTGGGACTGCGTCCAGCCCAGGTGGGTTCTGGTTCTTTAAACCTAGCGGCCCCGCCCAGGGCAACAATACCATCAGGCAGAAGGGAACTGGTCAGATTCCTTAAGATTCCTGGAGCTCCCTCTCCCCAGTGTGCTCTTAAAGGAGACTGTTTACCCTGCCACACCCAGCACAGAGCAGAGTCATGGGCCCCAGGCCAGCTCAGAGGCTAAGGTGATGGTGGGGAGAGGGACGGGCCTCAGACCCTTCTCTTGAGAAAGTGGATTTTCGCCTAGACCCTAAAAGAGGGGCCCAGAGGGGTGCTGGATGGGGATGGGATGCTTCTGGGTCCTTGTCCCAGCAGTGGATGTTCCAGGACTTCTGGGGGGGAGGGTGTCTTGGGGACAATACTGTCAACAAGGAGTCAGGGGCTGGCCTTGAGGCTCCATTTGCTCAGGGATCCCATTGCTTTCCATCAAGAGGAGGAGCTGGGGCTGAGGGATGCACCCCAGGATCACCCACCAGGCCCTGACAACTACTTACTTGGCCCCAGGAGACTGAAAGCTGGAATCAGAACCTACCCAGGCCCAGGCCTTCATTCCCTGTCTACTGCATGGGGGCAGGGGTGTGAGGGGGAAGCTGGGGGGTGGGCTGGGAGGGAGGAAGAGGACTGTCAGCCCCAGGATGAGGAGTGGGTCGCCTTTTTCTGCAGACCCCCATGCCTGCCTTGTGAACTGCTGGCCAAACTCTCTTCTTAACTGCCCTCCCCAACCCCGATACAGGCCTTTTTATTCTGCCATCTCCCCTCCCTAATTCTTCTCTGTTCACCCTCCTCTCCCACTGGATGGTGACCAACTGAAGGCAGGAATGTTGCCTCCCTTATTGCCAATGCCCAGACATGGACACCAATAAATAGATTTTGATTGAATTGTTGAATCAGTGAGGACAAAGAAGCCACCAGGGCCTCCCAGTGCTGGGGGGTCAGAGGGCAGAATAAAGCCCTGAAAGGCAGGGTGTGGAGGGTTCAGGTAAGTAGGAAGCGGGAGGGCATCCCTAGTGCCAACATGTTGCATCTCCTCATGAAAACCTTCCATGGTACTTCCTTCAAGATTCAGTTGTTGCACAGAGTGTAAGATGGGGGCTCTGCCATGAAAGACATGGAAGAAACTTAAAAGACATGTTACTGAATGAAAGAAGCCAGCCTGAAAAGTCTACAAACTGTACAATTCCAACCAAATGACATTCTGGAAAAGGCACAGCTACAGAAACAATAAAAAGATCGTAGTTTCCAGGGGTTTTGGGGAGAGGGAGGGAGGAATGAACAGAAGGAGCACAAGGGATTTTTAGGGCAATGAAATTATTCTGTATGATACTATAGTGGTGGCTACATGTCATTTTGCATTTGTCAAAGCCCATAGAATGTACAACATCAAGAGTGAACCTCAATGTAAACTATGGACTTTGGGTGACAATAATGTGTCCATGTTGGTTCATCGATTGTACCAAATATGCGACACTGATGAGGTATGTTGAGGGAAGGGGAGTATATATGTATGGGGGTGAGGAGGGCTATGTGCAAACTCTGTATTTTCTGCTCAATTCTGCTATAAACCTGAAACTACTCTAAAAAAATAAAGTCTATTAAAAAAAAAAAAGACAGGGGCTCTGGGACCAGAAAGAACTGGATTTGCAGTCCAACTTGCCACCTGCTCACTGGGTGATCTCAGGCAGCTCCTCGGTTCTGAGCTTCAGCTCCTGCTCCCCAAAATGGATTAATGACAGGACTTACTTTCCAGGTTTAGGGGAGAGGTGCTGCCGGAGCATGGGGCTGACAGTATGTATTTGTGGAATGAATGCCTCCCAGGCCCTGTGTGAGGAGAGTCTGTTAACCTCAAGATTCAGAAGAACCATTAATAGCACATACTTTGGAGTCAAATCCAGGCTCTGTTAGTCACTTGCTATGTGCACTTGAGCAACTGACTTACCCTCTTCCTGCCTGCTCGCTCATCCCTGAAGTGGGACCGATGACTGAGCCGACTTCGAATGTTTTTTGTGATGATGACATCTGATTATGCTGCTCAGTGCACAGGAGCTGTGACGATAGCTGGGAATGGCCCTGAAATACACACGGTGAGCTCTGCAGCATGAGAGAAAGGGGGGGGCATCATTACATTTCAGTTCACCCCCTTGGGAAAACTACGCTTCAGAGAAGATAAAGGTCTTGCTCAAGGACATCCTGCGTCTTGGTAACAGAGTGGAGACTCGGCTCAAGTTTCCAGACTCCTCAGCTGAATTCTGCCCTGTCAGGCTACAACGGGGAATAAGCAGAAGAAAGCAGACACTTGTAGAAAGAAGACCCTTTAAGTCCCAGGTGCTTTGGAAGCTCTCCAGGAAGTATGAAAAGGACCTCAGATCCACTTCTCCAGAAGGTCCTAGCGCTTTTGCCCCACCCTGAAGCTTCTACCCTCTCTAGGATTCCTCCACTCCCATCCCTATCACCACAGGGTGTTTTCATCTTTAACAGATAGAAAGAAAATTTCACTGGAGCCAGGTGCTATTGACAGTGGTCCAAGGTAGTGGACAGGTGGAGCCCAGAACAGAACCCAGGGAGAGGGAGCCCAGCTACCTGTGGGTAACTTCTGTGAGCACAATGGTAAGTCACCACCTCATCTCCCCCTTTCCCCAAAGTTAGGTGTAGGCGCACTATTGCTGAGTATCGTGTCTGTCCCCTCTAAGACGCATGCTCAGGAGTGGGCAGCGGTGCCTGCCACACTGGAAGTGGCACAAGTCAGTTCCCAGGTTCATGAATTTAGCTTCTCAGATATTAAACCCAGTCCTTACAAATGGTCATGAAACTGGTCATAGAAAACTTTAAAAGCTTTAAGAAGTGTTTCATTTGTTAGGAGTGTTTAGGATAAACAATTGCTTTCTCAAGGTGTGATTCCTGAGGAGCTGGACTGGCAGTTGAAGGCTGTTTTCAGGAAGTCACTTTCTTTCTTTTTTTAAAATGTAGCTCATTTTGTGGAGGGAGGGTATAGCTCAAGTGGTAGAGCACTTGCTTGGTAGGCATGAGGTCCTGGGTTCAATCCCCAGTACCTCCTCCAAGGAGAAATAAATAAACCTAATTACTTCCCCCCACCAAAAAAAAA